AGATGGCGCAAGCCATCAGTAACTTTATGTCGCACGATAAGGAGATGCCTTTTTCATAATATTTTAAGCTAGGTTGATCTTTTTGAGCGGTACCTAATAAAGAAGATAAGGTGTAAAAGGATCGAAGAAATAGTCTCTGACGTGTGGAAAGTTTACGTAATCTCTCCATGACAACCTTTCCCTGACCCTGAACATATGGATTAGTTGTTCAGACATGTTGCTAGAGGGTTGATGCGAAAGAATTAAGGAATATCCTATCGATTTATACAATTCTTCAAAATATAGGTATAATACCTGAAGTTGATAATCTAATATGGAATAAGTTAATCAAAATTCAATACGAATTATCCACATAAACTCATTTAATCATCAAATAATTTATTAAAATCGATAAAAAGTTCGACTTTCATTGAAATATGTGATGTAGTTTATCATAAAAGTAAAGTTCATTTCGTCGTTTGATTCATTTCGATATATTCTTGGATTTCTTTGTCGCATATTTGAAAGAATTCTAGTAATATATCTTCTATACTTAATATTTTAGACACAACATTCATTATCTTTAATATCATCATCTCAATATTCATAAAAATAGACACTACAGCCAGTTAAAAGTTTTATTTTATCAACGTTTCAACAAAAATCTTTCAATCGCGTGAGAACGTTCTTAAAACTTCAGAATAATTATTAACGCCTTGCAAAATGCTCTTTTTTATTTCTCCTGACGAAGACAAACGGTTTTTGTTGAAACATTGAGAAAATAAATCTTTAACTGGGTGAAATGTCTATTTTTTTTAAGAAATATGAAAATATGCCAGAGACAACGTCTATCTTCAAGATTATCTCATTTTGTAAATTCTCATAATCAGATATTAATTATGGGTGAAAATTTCATCTTAATAATTGACTGAATGTCTCTAACAATATTGTAGCGTAGAAATCAAGTCTTTGTATATCTGAAGGTGTATTTATTGATGACGTCACCACGACTAGTCGACAAATATTAACAAACCAACCAAACTATCTACAGCTTGAGAATATCGATCAAGCAAGCTAGGCAACTAAATGATGATTTTCCAAATATAAAATATAATTAATCTTTTTCAAATATTTTATTGAATAATTATAAATTAAATAATAAATTATTTCTTCGTCACACAATATTCAATTTAAGTAAAAAAAAGGTATCTTCTTGATCATGCAACTAAAATTTCTAATGTTTCACGATCAGAATATGCTTTTTTTTCTTTATTTATGCACCTTATCTATCAGTAAAATTCCATTTTTATACTATTTTTACATTATTTAATTAAAGAAAAAAAGACATTTGCTGATCGTAAAACTAAAATTTCTAATGTTTCACGAGTATAGGATGCTTTTTTATTTATATATGCACCTTATCTCTCAGTGCAATTTCATTTTTATACTATTTTTAGGTTATTTAATTAAAGAAAAAAAGACATCTACTGATTATGCAACTAAAACTTCTGATGTTACACCAGTAGAAGATGCTTTTTTTCTTTATTTATACACCTTATCTCTCAGTACAACTTCATTTTAGTACTATTTTACATTATTTAATTAAAGAAAAAAAGACATCTACTGATTATGCAACTAAAACTTCTGATGTTTCACAATCAGAAGATGCTCTTTTCTTTATTTATACACCTTATCTCAGTAAAATTTGATTTTTATACGATTTTTACATTATTTAATTAAAGAAAAAAAAGACATTTTCTGACCATGCAGCTAATATTTATAATTTTTCACGATCAGAATATGCTTTTCTTCTTTATGTATTACCTTATCTATCAGTAAAACTTCATTTTAGTACTATTTTTCATATTATTTGTTAATCTGTTGAATATCTCGGTATTCTTACAATGTTTATTCCTAATGCAGAAGTACAGACATATTGGCTGAAAGAATCTGTGTCGTTCCATCCTAGTTCTGGCCGTTCGCCAAAGCAACCATCATTGATTTCATCTTTATTAATCCAATTGGAGGCAACAAGGTCTTGAGATCATCTCTGTTCATTCCTCAATCGTTTTATCGTTTCTGTGGTGTAGCCGTTATCACTAGTGTTTCACACGTACAAGGTCCCCGGTTCGATCCCGGGCTGGAACATTTTTTTAAACTCCGCCTTTGCCGGTCCCAAGCCCGGATGAAAAAAAGAGGAGGGGGAGCAGTAACAAGCTCGCTAAAAAACCTGGGCTCAGCTGGCCCGGCTGATAGTACCCTGTAAGGGCTCCTGATCCAGGGATACAGGATGAGCAGCGTTTGTACTCCATATTAGGAGTAGCTGCACATGGTGTCTGTTCCTCATGTCAGAGACGGCCATTTCTTTTGGAGCTAAGTCGGCCTGCCACTGAGTAGTGCTCCCAGTCTTAATGACAAAGGCAGACGCATTCTACTTCACCCAGTCATGAATGATCGAGTGGAGATAAGAAAGAAGAAGAAAAAGAACTTCTTCCGAATTCCATCTTTAACAGCTCTTCAGTCTATTAGTCGGGGTCACTGATGCGCACACAATTCCATTACCAAAGATATTCCCATTTTTGAATTATTGACCTTTCTATTCTGATAAATCACGACCTGTAAGCAGTGGTACAGCTTACTCCACGCTGACGAGCGTCAACAGCGCGAAACGCGTTCGTGGATGGCTTTTCTTGATTTACCAAGAAATTGAGTTGGCCAAATATCAGGGAACAGGCTGAATCAATGTTTAGTTGAATTCTGTTCCACCAGATGGTGCTCTGCCTTCGGAAAAGCACATGTTCTTCTGGTCAGGATATGCCTATTTTATTTTTAATATCAACACGACCTGTGAGCAGAGGGGAAGAGATGTTTAAAATTTCTCCATTCCCCCAAGATAGTGGACATTGCTGCTGCTGTGATAGAGATGCATTGAGACATCTGAGGCTCTTCATTGGACACAACAACAACAACATTGAGAGGTTCTAACTTGATTTTTTCATTGATTTGAAGGATCTAAAATGGCTTGTTCAATTTTTGAAAGGATTTAGCATAAAGTCTTCAATGATGGTGATGGTACAACTTCCATTCAGGAAACATCTATCAACATTGAGAGATAGACGGAAGAACTTTCAAATTTCTCCACAGGAATGAGAACAAAGAGTGGGGACTTCCCCTTGGGGTCAGCCCAAGGTCAATCACGTGCTGCTGGTGCATCGTCTGCAGCTGGCGCCGTTTTGGCATCTAATTAGCCAGCAAAAGGGGCCAAAAACTGGGCTGATATTATTTAATCAGTGAAGCCGACAAAAACAGCTTTATTAAACTTAAACGCAAGAGGAAGAGAGTCGGTGGTTTCCGTCTACCTCGAGCGACTGCCACGGCCAACAGAACTGAGGTTCGTTTTCCTAACAGAGCCTTGCAAAATTCTGGAGGTCAGACTTCGTCAACCTCAGAACCCAACCTCAGAACATTAAGGCCAAACGGGTTGCCGAGACCAGGGCAATACAGCAGTCGACTTTACTCAATAACTGCTTCTACGTTGAATTTTGCAAGGACGTCACCCAGCTGCAGTACCTTCAAGCGTTAGACAAGCTGTTTGGGGGGTAAAGAGGCTGTCATACAGCTGGCCAAGATAAACGACCGCGTTCTTGTGGTCCTGTTAACCATCACCCTCGCGGAGGTCTTGATCGACGAGGGCCTGACAATCGAGGACACCCTCTTAAAAGCATTCCCATACCAGAAGAAAGCTGAGAATAAATAATCTGCAAACTGCCCATCTCTGCATCCAAGACAGCGGCGTGATCGCGGCACTATGACCATACGGGCAGGTGACGTCCATCGCCCCCATTTACATCATCATCGGAAAATACACAGTCATGTACAGCAGGTGGGAGGCTTTCATGATGCTGAACGATGGCCTGAAGATCCATCAGCTCCCAACACGTCTCGACATCAAGGTAGGAGGAGAGACCATTCCGGCATTACTTTCTCACGAAGTGCGGTGCAACAAATGCCACAAATTGGGCCACCGCCGTGTCAACTGCCCACAGAACACCAAGGCGACAGCGGAGCCCCGAGTATCTTTCCTGTAGACGTCGACCACAAGTATACAGCATGCGCACGCCCTCCGTCTCCTCTCCTGCAGCGCGGTCACCAGCTTCTTCTCCTATGCCGCCCACTCGCCACGACGACAGTAGTATCTATCCAAGTTACACACGCTTCTGTCCTTCCCGCCCTGCAACAACCACTACGAACAAAGTGCTAAGCGAGGCAAATACCTTCACAAATCAGCATGAAACTACCGATGTGATGATCGATCCTCCACCTCAAGTTTCATCATTGGACAAAAGGCAACCGGCAAATCCAAGGCACGACAACAAATGGATACCTTGATTGAAAACCACAAGGCATTGGAAACCATCAATGATCTTCAATCACTGGGCCTGCAGAGAGAAACCCTTCCCTCAGCATTCACTGTGGACAGAAAGCTCGACTCTCTCCTGGCAACATCGAACTCGGAGCAGAAGAAGGCCATCGACATCTTGGCTACTAGGCTCGTGGCTCTGTTGGCGGATACTTCGTGTACCCTCTACAAGAAGCTGTCAAGAGCCAGAACCTCTGGCAAAAGTCATGAGCTTCCGCATTGCGACGCTCAACGTGCGCGGCCTCGCCGCTCGCCATAGAAGCAAGGAGCTTTTCTACTTCATCTGGCAGCATGCCGTTGACCTCGCATTCGTGCATGAAGCTAACGTCACAATCCCTGACAATGAACAAGATCTCTGTCTTTGTTACAAAGCAACCATCGCGCCATCGACGTCTACCATTGGATTTGGGCTTGCCTGTGTCGTCGCTCCTGGCGTCACCATCCTCTGGCAGCGCATACTATGGCCAGGGAAGATCGCCGTGGTCAGCGACCGCGGTCACCAAGTGGCTTTAATAAACTGTCACCTTTCCCATGCTCCTACAGCTGCAGACTATCGCGGGTGAAGCCATCAGAGAAGATGCCTGAGTCCTCGGTGACCTGAATATCTCCGAAGAGTCCACAAGCGACATAAGCTCCGGTTAAGTATAAGTCTTCAGAACTTCTGGACCAAGCCGACCTCGTGGACGCTGCGTACATCTTCGAGGCCACGCACCTACCAACTAGGGTCGCCACACTCGGAAGCTGAATCGATGCGAGTCGTCTTGATCGAGTCCTTCTACCATCTAGGATTTCTTACCACGTCATCCAGTATTGCACAACTAATTATAGGCTGTTGGGACCTTCGTGCTTTGATCATTCAGTTGGGCCAACCGTCTCCTCCACGTCCTTCCTGCATCGCTGCCATGCTTCGCTCGAGGATCGTTATTTCCAGAGTGGCGACGTTCTTTAACAACGCTACTAGGGCTACCACGGATTTTTCCAACAGTAATCTCTGGAGACTTATATCAGAGCAAATATACTCTCACAGATCAAGTACCTTGATGTCCCCGTGTCGCTGAAGATGATTATGTCATCAGTGCCCGCCAGTTCCTGCAAGACAAGCTCGGAGCCGCGTCCATGGACATAGACTACTTCGTTTGGCAAAAAGGCCATCGAGATCTTAGCTACTAGGCTCATGGCTCTGTTGGGGGATACTTCGTGTACTCCCTACAAGAAGCTGTCAGGAGCCAGAACATCTGCTAAACAACAGCAATGAGCTTCCGGATTGCGACGCTCAGCGTGCGCGGCCTAGCCGTTCGCCATTGAAGCATGGAACTCTGCTGCTTTCTCCAGCAGCATGTCATCAACATCGCATTCGTGAATTGCATCGACGTCTACCATTGGATCTTGGCTTGCCATGTATGCCACAATGTCTCCGCTGCAGTTTGACGCAGCTTGTAGCAAGGATGAAGGCGTCACTTGACTCAGAAGGTACAGGAAATGGACATCGACTTCAGCCCTGGCGTTCAACAAGATGACCTATCCAATGCCTGTGACATCTAATTGGATATTATCAGTGCAATATAATACTCCGCGTTATGTAATATAAATATAAATCTTGAAGACAGCGCTAAAACATTCCCCTTTTATAGAATGTCGCGAGCAGATTCTAGGTGGGCGAGATAACATCCAAGAATGAGCTGTTACTCAAAGCAAACCTTGTTACACCTACACGGTATGTTCCAATTGACGAAACTTTCCAAAATGGCGTATGTCTGTAACTAGGTAAGAAAGGCCGCATTCGCCAGAATTAGTTTTGGTACAAGACCAATCAGCCAACCGGGTACAGTACATTTTAGGGATAAAACAGACGTCGCGTTGATTGAAGCAATGCTTCGCAGAGCTTCGAAAATTCTTTGACTATCTCCAACACAATACCTCAGTTCTCAGAACGTCATTTCATTAGAAAGTTCTTTTCGAGAGATCAAGTAGTAGCAATCATTTCGACTAACTCATCAAAACAAAACTAGCTATCCTCTTGAAGGATGGTTTGATTGGCCAAGGCAGAATCTTCAAGATTTCTTCATTCGATTACGAGATGCTTCCGAAATCGGCAAGACTCTTCAACGAAGTACGAGAATTCAAGAAGTGAAGAGAATTCCAGGCTAACATGTCCTTCAGAAGGAGCACCCAGAAGTATAAGGTTATCCGAAAAGTTCGTGTTTTTCTTAAAACGTCGTTTATCTTATTATTTGGCGAATGATATTATTACGGCGAATACATAATACAATTACTTTATACATAATACAAAGGAATTATACATAACGGCGAATATATGGGCCTCGTATATGGGCCATCAACAAGGAAACCATTGTCTCTTTGCGTTCTACCAAAGAGGCTAATCAAATTGCGTATAGTGATATAGATCGTGGGTAGGTAGTGTCGATTGACATGGTTCTTCAGTTTGTCTGCAAGAACAAGCTGATTCTATAGACATATTCTTAAGTCATAGTGAATAGAGTTTAATCTTTTCTTATAAACGTTTATCACCTGACTTTTAATTTGATAATAGCAACAAGAAATCTCTCCAGGGTTGAGAGTTTCTTGTACCATTTTAATTTCCCTAGATTTCAGGCTAACATTTCCTTCAACAGGAGCACCTAGAAGTATAAGGTTGTCCCAAAAGTTCCTGTTTTTTCTTAAAACGTTGTTTTTCTTATTATTCGGCGAATAATATTATTACGGCGAA